AAAAATTTTTTTTTTTGCAACCGTTTTCGTTGCAAACAAGACACTCTGCTTTGACATTGGAGAAATATGGTAAAAATGCCTACTACTCTCTACTGCCTACTTCTATTTTCATTATCCACTTTTCTTTAGAGACTTTTTCAGAGCAACATTTTCTCAATTGCAAGCTGTTTTACCCCAATCGATGCTCAAAGAAATATAAAAAACTAATTTAATAGAGACATTGGTGATTTTATCAGTATAATCAGATTGAAAATATTAGGATATGTTATTGACATTGAACTGATTACTGATGACATAGCCTACTAACCAGATGTGTTAAAAATTGTGTTGAATTTATAGCATAGGCCTATGAATTGGGCTGCTAATATGTTCTGTTCTGCCGACTATTAGCTGAGAATTTTTTTTGCCCAAGGCCAAACCTATTGTCGACCCCTGTTGTACACTATTCTAGTTTAGCAGGGATAGGAGGGGGGTGGCAATTTTTTGTCTCGCCTAGGGCAGTAGAACGTCCAGAGCTGGGCCTGATAGGCCCATAAATTTTTTGGGTGGACGCGCATACACACATAGGAGGTCTCGTACCAGGAAGAAATTACATCTACTTTCACCCCTGGGTAAAACAGTAATTCTGCTCATAGATTATGCATGTATGAACTACACATTGACACATTCAGCCCAAAGCGTGAGGTTTCCAAAACACTTAGTAGTCTACAAAGTTCCGGAGCATGTCTTTAAGTATCAAAAGTAAAAGTGAACGCTATAAATCCTTTCAAATTCCTTATATTTAGCAAACCAGACAGCACAATTTTCTTGTTTCTTAATTTATTTGTGTATTTGTGTTTAGTGAGTCCACCAGATCAGAGGCAGTAGGGATGGCCATGTTCTGTTGATGTGTGAATTGGACAATGGTCCTGTCCTGCTAAGCATTCTAAATGTGAAGAGTACTTTTGGGTGTCAGGGAAAATGTATGGGAGTAAAAAGTAGATATTTTCTTTAGGAAAGTAGTGTAGTAAAAGTAAAAGTTGTCAAAAAAATAAATTGTAAAGTGCAGATACTTAATACATTACACTACTGGTATTCTTGCTTTATGTTAGTCACATTAAGCAATAATGCAAGCACTCACAGACTTATCTACAGTCACATATTGCTTAAAATGTCAGAGATGGGCTAATGTGATGGTGATTATTGTCTAAAGGTGATGTCAATGAGTTAAAGATTTCATTCAGACTAGATTTGTTCCCCACAGCCACCTACGCCAGAAGACCTGTCCATCGTGTGCTTCACCAGTGGTACCACAGGTATGGTCAGACAAACTAACACCCCAAAGTGTCTTATTCTTTCAAGCTAACACAGTATTGATGTGTATTAACACAGTAATGTACTATCTTAAGAGTTTAGCCCACTTCATCCACAATACCTGATTCAAGTCCAACCCTGACGTGTGTCTATTACTTTGCTCATTGTGTGTGATAAATTATTAACAGGAAGAGGCCTCCCCCTGACCATTTCAGACCATGTACAGTGGCTTGCGAAAGTATTCACCCCCCTTGGCATTTTTCCTATTTTGTTGCCTTACAACCTGAAATTAAAATGGATTTTTTGGGGGTTTGTATCATTTGATTTACACAACATGCCTACCACTTTGAAGATGCAAAATATTTGTTATTGTGAAACAAACAAGAAATAAAACAAAAAAACTGAAAACTTGAGCGTGCATAACTATTCACCCCCCCAAAGTCAATACTTTGTAGAGGTACCTTTTGCAGCAATTACAGCTGCAAGTCTCTTGGGGTATGTCTCTATAAGCTTGGCACATCTAGCCACTGGGATTTTTGCCCATTCTTCAAGGCAAAACTGCTCCAGCTCCTTCAAGTTGGATGGTTTCTGCTGGTGTACAGATATCTTTAAGTCATACCACAGATTCTCAATTGGATTGAGGTCTGGGCTTTGACTAGGCCATTCCAAGACATTTAAATGTATCCCCTCAAACCACTCAAGTGTTGCTTCAGCAGTATGCTTAGGGTCATTGTCCTGCTGGAAGGTGAACCTCCGTCCCAATCTCAAATCTATGGAAGACTGAATCAGGTTTCCCTCAAGAATTTCCCTGTATTAAGCGCCATCCATCATTCCTTCAATTCTGACCAGTTTCCCAGTCCCTGCCGATGAAAAACATCCCCACAGCATGATGCTGCCACCACCATGCTTCACTGTGGGGATGGTGTTCTCGGGGTGATGAGAGTTGTTGGGTTTGCGCCAGACATAGCGTTTTCCTTGATGGCCAAAAAGCTCAATTTTAGTCTCATCTGACCAGAGTACCTTCTGCCCTCTTTGCCTGGTCTGTGGGTTTTGGTGGGCGGCCCTCTCTTGGCAGATTTGTTGTGGTGCCATATTCTTTCAATTTTTTAATAATGGATTTAATGGTGCTCCGTGGGATGTTCAAAGTTTCTGATATTTTTTATAACCCAACCATGATCTATACTTCTCCATAACTTTGTCCCTGACCTGTTTGGAGAGCTACTTGGTCTTCAGGGTGCCGTTTGCTTGGTGGTGCCCCTTGCTTAGTGGTGTTGCAGACTCCGGGGCCTTTCAGAACAGGTGTGCAGTGAGGGAAAAAAGTATTATCCCTCATTAAAATGCAAATGAATTTATAACATTTTTGACATGCGTTTTTCTGGATTTTGTTGTCTTATTCTGTCTCTCACTGTTCAAATAGACCTACCATTAAAATTATAGACTGATCATGTCTTTGTCAGTGGGCAAATGTACAAAATCAGCAGGGGATCAAATACTTTTTCCCTCACTGTATATATACTGAGATCATATGACAGATTATGTGACACTTAGATTTCACACAGGTGGACTTTATTTAACTAATTATGTGACTTCTGAAGGTAATTGGTTGCACCAGATCTTATTTAGGGGCTTCATAGCAAAGGGGGTGAATACATATGCACACACCACTTTTCCGTTATTTATTTTTTAGAATATTTTCATTTTTTCAGTTCTTTTCATTTCACTTCACCAATTTGGACTATTTTGTGTATTACCATTACATGAAATCCAAATAAAAATCCATATAAATTACAGGTTGTAATGCAACAAAATAGAAAAAACGCCAATGGGGGATGAATACTTTTGCAAGGCATTGTATCATGGTTAATAGTATGGTCATGTTAGTGCCCCTAACACTTATAGACTTCAGAGGGAAAGACAGACATACAAGAGGAGTTGTATGGAATCCTGCCCTGTTATTACAGTCTGGCCAAAAACACAGTCACAAAGAGTAGTAGGAGTAAGATTAGGAGAACCCCTGTATTTCCAGACAAGGGTTGTAACCACAGCTTTAGTCACAAGCAGCTAAGCGGCCCACTGCAGTAGTGGAAAGAGTGCCACCTGTTGGTCTTTCAGTGTAATTTCCCCTGGTGCCCTGGCCTCTCTTATCTCCTGTGGTCTGTCTCTAAGAGTGTGTGTTCCAAAGGTTGTTACAGGGTAGTACAACTAAGGCATTTCCCACTATGGTAAAACATATATAAAAAAAGTGAATGTGTAGCCCGAAAAAAAAAGTGACACAATATTATTATTCCTATAGTTCCTAGGCTGCTAATAGCTAACTGTTTGTTTTTCCCATATACACTGAACAAAAATATAAACACAATATGTAAAGTGTTGGTCCCATGTTTCATGAGCTGAAATAAAAGATCCCAGAAATGTTCCATAAGCACAAAAAGCTTATTTCTCTCAAATTCTGTGCACAATTTTGTTTATATCCCTGTTAGTGAGCATTTCTCCTTTTCCAAGATAATCCATCTACCTGACAGGTGTAGCATATCAAGAAGCTGATTAAACAGCATGATCATTGTGCTGGGGACAATAAAAGGCCACTCTAAAATGTGCAGTTTTGACATACAACACAATGCCACAGATGTCTCAAGTTTTGAGGGAGCATGTAATTGGCATGCTGACTGCAGAAATGTTCAATTGACTGATTTCCTCATATGAACTGTAACTGAGTAAAATCTTAGAATTGCTGCATTTTGCGAATATAATTTTGTTCAGTGTATATCTACCGTTGTTGTTTTCCATGGATTGATACTTGATCTGTCCCAAATGGCACCCTTTTCCCATTATAGTGCACAACTTTTGACCGGAGCCATATGTAGTACACTATAAAAGGGAATAACTCTAGCTCTTAAATGGTTTTCCCCCAAATTCTATTTTTTACAATCAAATTGTAATATTGTAATTTCCATCATGAAAAATGTCCTGTAATGTTAAGTGTTCTGTACTCTATTTATGTCACGTGTTATGTATTTTACATGAGTGTTATGCAACTATTAGTGATGTAAATTCTGCATTTCTTCAGTTTTATCTGTGAGCAAGAATACAAAAACTCAAACTCAATAGTGTGCCATTTGGGACGGAGCTAATGCTATTCATTGTTGAGAGTCCATTGTTGGGTGTTGTTTTCTGTCTTTCTCCTCCATTGTTGAGAGTCCATTGTTGGGTGTTGTTTTCTGTCTTTCTCCTCCATTGTTGAGAGTCCATTGTTGGGTGTTGTTTTCTGTCTTTCTCCTCCATTGTTGAGAGTCCATTGTTGGGTGTTGTTTTCTGTCTTTCTCCTCCATTGTTGAGAGTCCATTGTTGGGTGTTGTTTTCTGTCTTTCTCCTCCATTGTTGAGAGTCCATTGTTGGGTGTTGTTTTCTGTCTTTCTCCTCCATTGTTGAGAGTCCATTGTTGGGTGTTGTTTTCTGTCTTTCTCCTCCATTGTTGAGAGTCCATTGTTGGGTGTTGTTTTCTGTCTTTCTCCTCCATTGTTGAGAGTCCATTGTTGGGTGTTGTTTTCTGTCTTTCTCCTCCATTGTTGAGAGTCCATTGTTGGGTGTTGTTTTCTGTCTTTCTCCTCCATTGTTGAGAGTCCATTGTTGGGTGTTGTTTTCTGTCTTTCTCCTCCATTGTTGAGAGTCCATTGTTGGGTGTTGTTTTCTGTCTTTCTCCTCCATAGGAAACCCAAAGGGAGTCATGCTTACACATGGGAATGTTGTGGCTGATTTCTCAGGCTTCCTCAAAGTGACAGATGTGAGTTCAAACAGACTATGGTGTCACAGACCCTTTCTTTGGAGAAATTTGCCTTGCATTTATCTTGAGTAGGTGCTTTTCTCCCATTTCTGTAACTATATTAGAGGCAAGGCTCACTAAATTGCTTCATGTCACATATCTTACAAGACGACACAAATGTATTTGTTTTTTGTGAGCTTGTGCATCATTTATGTTTCTCATTAACAGCATATTTTACAGTTTAGTGGTGGGAAACAAATGGTTCTGATCCTGTCTAACCACCGCTTCTCTTCCCCATGCTTTTATGGAATACCACAGAAAGTCATCTTCCCAAACCAAGACGATGTTCTCATCTCCTTCCTGCCTCTGGCTCACATGTTTGAGAGACTCATTGAGGTAATGTCAAACAAACAAAGCCCCCGCTAAGCTTTCAGCTGTATAATTATAGTTGGTGTGGGCGTGTGCTTGCTCCTCTTTGGCTGTGTGTGTGTGTACGTGCATTTCCAGACCTGAAGGATCTTGGCAGTTGCCCCTGCCCTGAGTCATTATTGACCTGGCTATATGTGATATTAATTATGCCATAGCCAGTCAGCTATTTATTGATACCATATCTGCTTCCACTGTAAAAGCTGGCTCATATAGTTAAGGGTGCGGATTATTTATGCCGCTTCTAACAGCTACAGGAAACTTGAGTCCCAACTGGCACCATATGGTATATAATTGGCACCCTTAACCTTAATATACTGCGCTACAAAGGGAATAGGGAGCCATTTGGAACACAAACTTGGTCTGTTGTTTCCTTTAGATATGGTTTTTACTGTCCCTAACTACTAATTTAGGATCAGTCACGAACTACACTATTCTTTTGAGTAATTACTGGACCAGCTAAAGCACTGAGGGGGTAAAGCAACCACACGGGTTCAACCAGCATGCCTGTTTTGTCTCGCTGCAGTACGTGTTCTTCCGTTGTCAGCGTGTGAGAGGCAGACACAGACACAGGAAACAACCTCGCTTCGCCTCCAACACAAGCAGACATATGATTCACGTTCACGAGAATACACACATCCAAACACTTAATGCATGTGAATTATATGCAGCAATGCTGCAGATATTTCTTTGAAAGCAGTATCCAAATCCATTGGATGTAGTGATCACAATATAGTAGCTATATCTAGGAAAACCAAAGTTCCAAAGGCTGGGCCTAATATTGTGTATAAGAGGTCATACAAGATGTTTTGTAGTGATTCCTATGTTGTTGATGTAAATAATATGTTGGTCCGTGGTATGTAATGAGGAGCAAACAGACACTGCACTTGACACATTTATGAAATTGCTTATTCCAGTTACTAATAAGCATGCACCCATTAAGAAAATGACTGTAAAAACTGTTAAATCCCCGTGGATTGATAAGGAATTGAAAAATGGTATGGTTGAGAGGGATGAGGCAAAAGGAATGGAAAATAAGTCTGGCTGCACAACCGATTGGCAAACGTATTGCAAATTGAAAATTCATGTGACTAAACTAAATAAAAAGAAGAAGAAACTACACTATGAAACAAAGATAAATGACAAAGAATGATAGTCAAAAGCTTTGGAGCACCTTAAATGAAATTTCTGGGGGAAAAGGCAAACTCAGCTCCATCATTCATTGAATCAGATGGCTCATTCATCACAATACCAACTGATATTGCCAACTACTTGAATTATTTTGGGGCAAGATTAGCAAACTTAGGCATGACATGCCAGCAACAATTGCTGAGACTACACATCCAAGTACAGTTGAAGTCGGAAGTTTACATACACCTTAGCCAAACACTTTTAAACTCAGTTTTTCACAATTCCTGACATTTAATCCTAGAAAGAATTCCCTGTCTTAGGTCAGTTAGGATCACCACTTTATTTTAAGAAATGTGAAATGTCAGAATAATAATAGAGAGAATTATTTATTTCAGCTTTTATTTCTTTCATCACATTCCCAGTGGGTCAGAAGTTCACATACACTCAGTTAGTATTTGGTAGCATTGCCTTTAAATTGTTTAACTTGGGTCAAACGTTTCAGGTAGCCTTCCACAAGCTTCCCACAATAAATTGGGTGAATTTTGGCCCATTCCTCCTGACAGAGCTGGTGTAACTGAGTCAGGTTTGTAGGCCTCCTTGCTTGCACACGCTTTTTCAGTTCTGCCCACACATGTTCTATAGGATTGAGGTCAGGGCTTTGTGATGGCCACTCCAATACCTTGACTTTGTTGTCCTTAAGCCATTTTGCCACAACTTTGGAAGTATGCGTAGGGTGATTGTCCATTTGGAAGACCCATTTGCGACCAAGCTTTAACTTCCTGACTGATGTCTTGAGATGTTGCTTCAATATATCCACATAATTTTCCTTCCTCATGATGCCATCTATTTTGTGAAGTGCACCAGTCCCTCCTGCAGCAAAGCACCCTCACAGCATGATGCTGGCACCCCCATGCTTCACGGTTGGGATGGTGTTCTTCAGCTTGCAAGATCCCCCTTTTTCCTCCAAACATAACGATGGTCATTATGGCCAAACAGTTCTATTTTTGTTTCTCCAAAAAGTACAATCTTTGTCCCCATGTGCAGTTGCAAACCGTAGTCTGGCTTTTTTATGGCGGTTTTGGAGCAGTGGCTTCTTCCTGAGCGGCCTTTCAGGTTATGTCGATATAGGACTCGTTTTACTGTGGATATAGATACTTGTGTACCGGTTTCCTCCAGCATCTTCACAAGGTCCTTTGCTGTTGTTCTGGGATTGATTTGCACTTTTCGCACCAAAGTACGTTCATCTCTAGGAGACAGAACGCGTCTCCTTCCTGAGCGGTATGACGGCTGCGTGGTCCCATGGTGTTTATACTTGCATACTATTGTTTGTACAGATGAACATGGTACCTTCAGACGTTTGGAAATTGCTCCCAAGGATGAACCAGACTTGTGGAGGTCTACAATTTGTTTTCTGAGGTCTTGGCTGATTTCTTTTGATTTTCCAATGATGTCAAGCAAAGAGGCACTGAGTTTGAAGGTAGGCCTTGGAATACATCCACAGGTACACCTCCAATTGAATCAAATGATGTCAATTAGCCTGTTAGAAGCTTCTAAAGCCATGACATCATTTTCTGGAATTTTCCAAGCTGTTTAAAGGCACCGTCAACTTAGTGTATGTAAACTTCTGACCCACTGGAATTGTGATACAGTGAATTATAAGTGAAATAATCTGTCTGTAAACAATTGTTGGAAAGATTACTTGTGTCATGCACAAAGTACATGTCCTAACCGACTTGCCAAAACTATAGTTTGTTAACAAGAAATTTGTGTAGTGGTTGAAAAACGAGTTTGAATGATTCCAACCTAAGTGTATGTAAACTTCCAACTTCAACTGTATATCTGACCAAATTATGAAAGACAAGCATTGTAATTTTGAATTCAGTAAAGTGAATGTGGAAGAGGTGAAATAATAATTGTTGTCTATCAACAATGACAAGCCACCGGGGTCTGACAACTTGGATGGAAAATTACTGAGGATAATAGCGGACGATATTGCCACTCCTATTTGCCATATTTTCAATTTAAGCCTACTAGAATGTGTGTGCCCCCAGGCTTGGAGGGAAGCAAAAGTCATTCCACTACCTAAGAATAGTAAAGCCCCCTTTATTACTGGCTCAAATAGCCAACCAATTAGCCTGTTACCAACACTTAGTAAACTATTGGAAAAAATTGTGTTTGACCAGATACAATGCTATTTTACAGTAAACAAATTGACAACAAACATTCAGCATGCTTATAGAGGACATTCAACAAGCACATAACTTACACAAATGACTGATGATTGGCTGAGAGAAATTGATGATAAAAAGAATGTGGGGGCTGTTTTGTAAGACTTCAGTGCGGCTTTTGACATTATCGATCATAGTCTGCTGCTTAAAAAACTTATGTGTTATGGCTTTACTCCACCTGCTATATTGTGGATACAGAGTTGCCTGTCTAACAGAAAACAGAGGGTGTTCTTTAATGGAAGCCTCTCCAACATAATCCAGGTAGAATCAGGAATTCCCCAGGGCAGCTGTCTATGCCCATTACTTTTTTCAATCTTTACTAATGACATGCCACTGGCTTTGAGTAAAGCCAGAGTGTCTATGTATGCGGATGACTCAACACTATACATGTCTGCTACTACAGCGACTGAAATGACTGCAACACTTAACAAAGAGTTGCAGTTAGTTTCAGAGTGGATGGCAAGGAATAAATATTTCTAAAACTAAAAGCATTGTATTTTGGGACAAATCATTCACTAAACCCTAAACCTCAACTAAATCTTGTAATAAATAATGTGGAAATTGAGCAAGTTGAGGTGACTAAACTGCTTGGAGTAACCCTGGATTGTAAACTGTCATGGTCAAAACATATTGATACAACAGTAGCTAAGATGGGGAGAAGTATGTCCATAATAAAGTGCTGCTCTACCTTCTTAACAGCACTATCAACAAGGCAGGTCCTACAGGCCCTAGTTTTGTCACACCTGGACTACTGTTCAGTCATGTGGTCAGGTGCCACAAATTGCAATTGGCTCAGAACAGGGCAGCACGGTTGGCCCTTGGATGTACACAGAGAGCTAATATTAACAATATGCATGTCAATCTCTCCTGGCTCAATTTGGAGGAGAGATTGGTTTCATCACTGCTTGTGTTTATGAGAGGTGTTGACATTTTGAATGCACCGAGCTGCCTGTTTGAGCTGCTGGCGCACAGCTTGGTCACCCGTGCATACCCCACAAGACATGCCACCAGAGGTCTCTTCACAGTCCCCAAGTTCAGAACAGACTATGGGAGGCGCACAGTACTACATAGAGCCATGACTACATGGAACTCTATTCCACATCAAGTAACTGATGCAAGAAGTAAAATTAGATTTAAAAAACAGATAAAGAAAACACATTATGGAACAGCGGGGACTGTAAAGCAACACAAACATAGGCGCAGACACATGCATACACACACACGATAACATACGCACTATACACATACGTACACATCTGTGAATGTATTGTAATGTTATTAAAATTGTATGAACTGCCTTAATTTTGCTGGACCCCAGGAAGAGTAGCTGCTGCCAAGGCAGCAGCTAATTGGGATCCATAATAAATACAAATACAAATGTAAACACCCACAACAGGAACAGCTCATGTTCTCCGTGTAGAACTCTGTGAATAGGCTATGGCAATGCCTATGCTGTGCTATTCCTAGGGCAGCCGGTAGCCTAGCGCTTAGAGCGTTGGGCCAGTAACCAAAAGCTTGCTGGTTGAATTACCCGAACCGACAAGGTGAAAAATCTGTAGATGTGCCCTTAAGCAAGGCGCTTAACCATAATTGCTCCAGAGGTGCTGTACTACTATGGCTGACTTTATAAAACAACACATTTCACTGCACCTATCCAGTATATATGACAATAAAACATTTAAACATGTATGCCACATACAGTATTATGATCCCTGCAGTCTATTATGCAAATCAAGTCTGTCAACACGGAGAAGAAGAAAAAAGGCGGTCCCTGCAGATCCTTTCCCCTGCAGAGCCTTTCCCCTGCAGATCGTTGTTTTTTTGTTTTTTAATCATTTGAATAATCTTTTAACACAGACTTAACACCTAAAAAACACTTTGTATTTTTTTTTTACTCATAACATAGGCAAGGCCCTGTTGTTACCTAATTTCCTTGCATTACGCCTGGGAAGAAAACACTTCAATTTTCTTAACTTGCCATTGGCTCACTTACCCCAAGGCAAACATTTTGACTATATTATCCCACACAGCTACAAGGATGCACTTTCATGCAAGGTTTAGGACTTCATATTGAAGCTTATAGAGATCCCAACTGATGTATAGAACAATCTTTAAATTATCTACATTGATTTACATACAAGTATCATAAAACCTCTAACACAATAAATTCATTTGACTTGGTGAAAATGACTTGGTTTAAATGTATTTAGGACCTAACTTGCTTAACACTTTTTTCCATGTGGTTTCTTCCTCCACAGACTCCATGAAATGATGACCTCTTCCTAAATATTTGGTCAAATTATTAATTTTGTGTATGGTTTCCTAGAAACAAGGGTGGCTCAACTTACCCCTTGGGTCAACTTACCCCTACTGTATGCAATAACTGCTTTTTGACTCAATGACTCGGTTTTGTGCTATTTCTCTCTATTTCCCCAGTCTGTGGTGTATTGTCATGGTGGCCGGATCGGCTTTTTCCAAGGCGACATCCGCCTGCTGTCTGATGACATGAAGGCCTTACGGCCCACAATTCTCCCTGTGGTACCACGATTGCTCAACCGCATGTACGACAAGGTGAGAGAACCACCTACCCACATACACACACACCTCCACTCATTCTCCATATTTTATGTCAACTCACCCCCTCTCTCGTGTGTGTGTGTTCCACAGATCTTCAGCCAGGCCAACACTCCATTGAAGCGCTGGCTGCTGAACTTTGCAGCCAAGAGAAAAGGGGCAGAGGTCAGCAATGGGATCATCCGCATGGACAGCCTGTGGGATAAGATATTCTTCAGTAAGATACAGGTATCCACCTCACCACCTCCTCTTCTCCCCATGAGTGGCCTGATACGGTTGATGTATGTATGGATAGATGGACGGAGGGAGGGAGGGACGGACGGACGGATGTGAAGATTGATATATAGATGTGTGCTGTGTGTGTGTTCAGACAATAAAGGGGGTATGTCCCCAGTGTGACCCTTTGGCGGTGTTGGGAGGCAGATTTTTGGTGTGTTGTTGGAGTTTAGGTTGTGATAGTATTGTGTACTGTTGGCAGGCCAGCCTGGGTGGGAGGTTACGTATGATTATAACTGGAGCTGCTCCGGCCTCCCCCGCTGTACTGGGATTTCTCAGGGCAGCACTGGGTTGTCAGGTGAGTGACACACACACACATGTATGAGTGCATAAACACACACATGCACACATGCACGCACACACACAAACAGACACACACACAAGAATGTGCACATACACAAACACATGAACACGCGTGCACACAGACACACCACACAAACCGTCAGTCTCATTATATCACATCCTCCTAACATCCTGTCTATCCTTGCTGGCTGTAGGTGTATGAGGCGTATGGCCAGACAGAGTGTACTGCTGGCTGTACTTTTACCACTCCTGGAGACTGGACCTCAGGTTAGCTTATCTTCCCTCTCCTCTTCTACTCCAGCTGCTCCACTCCCAGGTCACCCAACAAACCTTATAATATGGGATGCATCCCAAATGGCACTTTATTCCCTATATAGTGCATTACTTTAGACCAGAGGCCTATGGGCCATGGTCGAAAGTAGTGCACTATAGGGACTCGGGCCCTGACCAAAAGTAGTGCATATGAAGGGAGCCGTTTGGGACACACCCCTACTGTAGGCCAGGGAATAAGAATACCTCTATGACAGGGATGGGCAACTAATGGGGGTGGTGGCCACAAAAAAAATTCTCAAACATTTTAGTGGCCCCCCATCTTGACAGCGGATAACTTTTTTCTTAATTTTGTGCAATTCTACACATTTTTGCCATGGGGTGTAAAGCAGTGGTTCTCAACTGATTGTGCCTCAGGACTCAAATTGAACCAGCTTGTCTCAGTCGCGACCCAATATTTGCATCCCAATTTTTTTGGCCCAAAATGCAATCTGGAAAATATATTTCATGCTATATTCCCACCTTTTTCATTGTCAATAATTCAATTTTGCCCATATTCTTGATGAAGAATGTTAATAAGCTCACTGATTTGAGACCACAAAATAAACCAAATCCGCTAAAAGGCACTGCTAATACTGTAATTCTATATTTAAAAAACTGTGATTTAATTATTTAAAAATGTACTGTAGGTTAAATTATATTTTAGTTGTTTAAGTTCAGACTGGAGTATTTTTCCGTAAAAATAATAATAATACAAATAAATTACTCAAGAGAGTCGCTGTTTTTGAGAAAATGTTGCAGTTTTAACCCAAGTTTGCTGCAACTTTACTACACGTTTTGCCTTGGGGCAGAGAGGAAAAGGAGCTGTTTTACAGCTAATTTCCTACAATTCTACAGATTTTGCCATTGGGTGGAGAGAAATGTTAGCAGTTTTTTATATGATATCTGAGTGAGACTGACTAACAAAATCAATGGGGGCCCCACGGACGGTAATTCGACCATGATAACAAGTTCAGATAGTTGGCCGCTAAATTAATTTAGCAATCTAAAAAGAAAATGCTGACATGGGCTTATTAACTGACTATCAGTGACTGACTGAGAGAAACTGCTGATGCGCATCCGAATTTCAAAATTGCACTTTGTGTATTCTACTATTCTAACTCGCAACAGTAAGTTGAGACCCCGACTGACTTCCAGTTGCCCATCCCTGCTGTAGGACATCAGTTTACAGTCAGTTCTAGCCAACGCCTGTATTTGGTATTGATTAGGATCCCCATTAGCCGCTGCAAAAGCATCAGCTACTCTTCCTGGGGTCCACATGAAACATTACATAATACATAGTACAGAACATTATTAGTCAAGGACTGATATACATCAATTGAAAATGTCACACATAGCCTACATATCAGTACATACACACAATATCTAGGTCTAATACGTAGTACAGTGCAAATTACAATACTATATATAAAATGGCTGTGTCTCTTCACAGTCCCCTTTGTTTTTGAAACTGGTTTTATTGCTAGCTTGAGTTACCTGGGGTGGCAGAGAGTTCCATGTAGTCATGGCTCTATTTAATACTGTTCGTTTTCCAGCCTCTGTTCTGGACCTGGGGACTGTGAAGAGACCTCTGGTTGCATGTCTTGTGTGGTACCGATGAGTGTCCGAACTGTGTGCCAACTGCTTGAACAGACAGTTCGGTACCTTCAACACATCAATACCTCGCACAAAGACCAATAGTGATGCAGTCAATCTCTCCTCAACTTTGAGCCAGGAGAGACTGACATGCATGTTACTGACACTTTCCCTCCGTGTCTGGTCGACTGAGATGTGAAGAAGGACAGCGCCCTATCATGGACAGACCTCTTCCCATTTTCGCAACCATTGAGTCTACATGTTTTGACCATGACAGCTTTCTATCTAGGGTTACACCCAGCAGTTTAGTCTCCTCAACTTGCTCAATAGCCATATTATTCAATAATAGATCTAAACGAGGTTTAGCGTTGAGCGAGTGACTTGTCCCAAAAATTATGCTTTTAGTTTTTGAGATATTTAGCACCCATTCTAAAATTGACTTGAGCTCTATGTTAAGTGTCTCAGTTATTTACTTTACTGTTGCAGCCGACGTGCGTATGTAACCGTGTTGCTTCCGTCCCTCTCCTCGCCCCTACCTGGGCTCGAACCAGGGACCCTCTGCACACATCGACAACAGTCACCCTCGAAGCACCGTTACCCGTCGCTCCACAAAAGCCCTCTGCAAGGGAAACAACTACTTCAAGGTCTCAGAGCGAGTGACGTCACCGATTGAAATGCTACTAGTGCGCACCGCTAACTAGCTAGCCATTTCACACCGGTTACATATACTGTTGAGTCGTCAGCGTACATAGACACACAGGCTTTATTCAAGGTCAGTGGAAGGACATTTCTAAAAACAGAAAACAATAATGGCTGCCCTGCACTACACCACACTCAACTGAATTTGCATGAGAGAGGCTTCCATTAACAAAAACCCTCTGTGTTCTATTAGATAGGGAACTCTCAATCCATAATAAGACAGAGGATGCAAATTTTTTTCATCAATAGGTTATGCTCTGAAGTGTAACAAAACAGTTCCCACAATAGTCTTACTATCAATTTCTTTCAGCCAATCATCAGTCATTTGTGTCAGTGCCGAGCATGTTGAGTGCCCTTCCCTATAAGCATGCTGAAAGTCTGTTGTTCATTTGTTTTCTGTAAAATATAAACACCTTATCCTGCACCACTGGGTGAAATCTCCAATTTGACTATAGCGGAAACAAAATACGCAGGGAACACCCTGCGTGTTGGGAACACATTATCGTCTGACTCACTGTGGCTTCTGCTGACTGATGCCAAAAACAACAACGCCCTCCAGGTCCTCAGGAGATAGTGTTAGTCACATGCTTTCAGCCTCACACACACACACAACCTTTGAGGTGCTATGTTTTTTGCTCTGTGGCTATGGGCTGCAGGTGCCACCTTTCTGCAGCGTGCTGCTCAGACGCCCAAATAGGACCACAACCATTTCCCCTCTGTAAGGTGTGAGAACAGGGGTGATGGGTCGGGAGGCCTGACTAGAGTAGGGTCAAAGACCTGTGGATCACAGGCAGTATTTACCCACGCACTATGTTGTTGTTATGTGTTTTACAACAGGTTGGCAGTTACGGTATGATAACCCAAGCATGCCACATACACTTTATTATCTCGGTGAAACAGCCATGGCCAAAGGTTACACCGGGAAAGTATTGAGCTCAGTACTGGTGGTTTAATGGTTGTTAGAGGAACTGAAACACCTAACCCATTAAACCCTGGGTACGTCCCAAATGGCACCTATATAGTGCACTACTTTTAACCATGCACTATATAGGGAACAGGGAGCCATTTGGAACGCAGCCGTCAATCATCTCCTGTCAGACTGGTAATGTCATTACAGGCTCTTATTATTTCATGATGCAGAACTTGCTATTGTGGTTACCAGCGGATAGTTCCTTTCTTCTAAGGACAGAGCAGGAGTGTATCATGTTATTCAAAAAGTTCATGAGTTCACTCTCATAATAAGGGTGCTTCCACCAACGGGGTAGCTTACTGTTAGTTTGGATCAGACAACTGAATTTGTTTTTTTATTTATTTATTTTATTTTTTATTTATTTCACCTTTATTTAACCAGGTAAGCCAGTTGAGAACAGGTTCTCATTTACAACTGCGACCTGGCCAAGATAAAGCAAAGCAGTGCAATAAAAACAACACAGAGTTACATATGGGGTAAAAAACATAAAGTCAAAAATACAACAGAAAATATATATACAGTGTGTGCAAATGTAGCAAGTTATGGAGGTAAGGCAATAAATAGGCTATAGTGCAAAATAATAACAATAGTATTAACACTGGAATGCTAGATGTGCAAGAGATTATGTGCAAATAGAGATACTGGGGTGCAAAAGAGCAAAATAAATAACAATATAGGGATGAGGTAGTTGGGTGGGCTAATGTGTGACACAACATCAGACAAAACTGAATCAGGGGTCTCAGGGGAGAATAACAATTCAAGATCATCAGATACTCTAGAATTGGTCTTTGGTTTTGTGCCTTGCCATGCTTTTATGTTTAGCAAGTATGGAGAAACGTATGACTTCAACTATTGTGCAAGCCTTATTGTCAAACACCACTAGGTTTTGCCTATTTCCACTAAAAGAAATGTGTTGCTCAGATGCACACTGGGCTAACAAAGGGAAGGGGCCCGTCACAAAAACATACTATAGTCCTTCTCTAGGTTAAGACCTCTGGGGACTAAAGTATCTAAGGGATGGATCCAGAACATCTCTCTGGGCTGTCGGTGTTTGCCAACGTCGCTACCGCGTTTGTTTTTGCTAACTTGTTCAATTCCAAAATAAAATAACTCACAAAGCAAGTGTCCTCTTTTTTTATTTTTTATGGAGGGCCACTGGGCAGTTGGGGTCAGCACTTCAAATGGCACTTCGCTGCTCACACATTCTAGTGTGTAACTCCCTTGAGGTCTCGCCTATGTAAAATAAGTTGCACAGGCAGCGAATCGCATAGATCACATTGCGAGAATTGCAATTGATGGTACCTTTGATCTGGGGTGCAGGAAACCTTTCATATGTTTGGTGTACTGGCATTGGGTACAATTGCCACACTTGTAGTTGTCAGGAGGAATATGTAGGATGCTGGTTTTGTTTGCGCTTTAGCTGACGTCGGATCGGACAACATTGTCTTTAATGTTTTTAGCACTATGGTAAGCAGTCATGGGAGGCTGCTAAAATGTATTAACTAGAGCTGGGCTTGAGCATAGAATGTACCAAGGGTTTTTTGATGATGCCTAGGAGTTCTGGACTTTGCGGGGTGTAGGTAGTGACCATTTGGATGGAGGGTTTAGCTCTAGGGCTTCTGGGCTTGCTCAGTAGCTGTGCACTAGGAACATCCATGCTTTCAGCTTGGTTTAACCATGTGTGATTGTAGCCCTTTGCTCTGAATCTGTCTGAGTTCAGACCTCCCTCGCAGGTGTCCTGTAATGGAATTCAGAAATTGGTGAAAGGACATCAGGGAGTTTAGGTCACCCTTGTAGACAACAAACATGTCATCAATGTAGCATTTCCAAACGATCAGGTTCTTGTTTAGAATGTGAACATTTTCAACTTACCTGAAGTGCAGGTTAGTGAAGTTGGTTGCCATCCTTGTGCCCATGGCATTCCTGCTACACTGCAGGAAGTAGGCGTCGTCGAACTTCAAGTCGTTTTTGGTGAGCACCAACCTCACGAGTTCAGCTAGGAAAGAAGAGGGTGGGTTGGGTTCAGTTCTCAAGTCAAGGAAATGGACACAGTGTTCAATTCCTAGTTCATGAGGAATGACTGTGTACATAGATTGAACGTCAAAAGACAATAAGAAACACTGTTCTGGTATCCCAATGTCAATTGTTTTAGAAAGTCACCTGTGTCTTTGAGATAAAATGGCAGATTTAAGACAATGGGTTTCAGGTGGTCGACATAGAGCGAGATGTTCTCAGTTATCCTCCCAATCCCTGACACGATGGGTCTGCCCGGAGGGTTGTCCATGTTCTTGTGTAGCTTAGTCACCATGTAGAACAGGGAGGTGCGGGATGTTGGATATACAATAACGCTCATGCTTTTTTATCTGTGATGTTGTGATTGACTGCTTCCACTAACGTCTCTGATCTGTTCATTGTAGGTGGAGGTGGGGTAAGAGGCAAGTGGCATGTAGAAGTTTCGGTCTGACAATTGTCTTTTGCATTCAGAAACATAGTCAACTGTGTTCAAAATCACTGTTACCCCACCTTTATCTGCCTGTTGAATGGTAATGGTATGGACTGTAGCTTCTTTAGAGATTGTAGCTCCTATTTGCTCAGGTTGGGTTTCTTCATTCTTTTATTCTGTTCACACCAAACCTTTACCTTATCTTCCACAAGGCGGCAGTATGTTTCTACAGAATGATTTCCATGTTTGGGGAGGGGTGAAGGTACTCTTAGGTTTGAGCCTCACGTCTGGAAAAAAAACTGCCATAATCTGATAGTTCTGAAAAATGTCTGAAGGTCTACAGAGATGTTAAAGTCCTTAATAGGTGCCGTAGGAACAAAAGCCAAACCTGGATTCAGGAGGGAGACTATTTGGCTTGTTGTTTGCGTCTGGTGTTGTACCGGTGCGTAATTCCGTTACCGGTTGCCTCTGCTACTTTTTCTGGTCTCATCTCCCTGTCCATTGGTTCGCCATGCATTGTGCCGGTCACCCGATATGTTGTGCCACTGGCGTCTGTAGTTCGGTATCTGTTTGTTGTATGAACGATGGTTACTAGAGTTTGAGTGATGCGAGTCCATGGAATTGTCACGTACATCTCGTCTCCCCCAGCTGGGTTGACGGCAGCCCCCATTATGACTTCTGTATTGTGCTCTAGGGCAGACTCTGCTGCCTTGGCTAGTCAAGAGTACACATAACCCTCAGAGTAATCTCGTCGGTCCCGGTGGAACTTCTCCTTTTTGCGCTCTCGCAGCTCATTATAGGTTTGTGCTGCCTCATCGTTAAGGTAATTTAGAGTGCTAGTTAGTTGACCATCTTTCAAATGCTCTCCTAATTGTGTCTCTATTAGGGTGAGGTCGTCTTTCAGTTTGTTCTCCTTCTTTTGTAGGTAAGAGATTGTGGCTGCCATCAACACGAAAGAGCTTCTATTCATGGTGTCAGTCCAGGTGTTGGTTAGTTCCTCGTCATCAGGTAGTCAAATAATGTCACCCCATGTAGATGGGTTTTTTCCAGTCCTAGTTTGATGTCTTTCCATTCATTCATCAGAGGGGAATACATTTCTTGTCCATCCTCAGTGACTCCCGCATAATAGCATTTTCAAAGGAGTTATCGCTTAAAAGGGTGTCCAAAAATGTATTGTGGGGATTGACATCCCTATTTACTCCATGGGCCATGGTTGGGAGCAAGCCGTCAAATCTAATATGTTAAGAAATGGAGGGTGCTCAATCAATATGAGTCGTGGTGCAACCAAAATGTTTTATCATAACTGAAAAGGCGCAACGCTCGCTCGTCATAAAAAAATATATTTATTTAAGCAAGGTTAAAATACTAACGTTTCTGCCTTCATCAGAATAATCACTCAAAGGGAATGTACAAGTTCATATAGGGCATGGGTGTTAAACTCATTCCATGGAGGGCCGAGTGTATGCTGATTTTCATTATTTCCTTTCAATTTGTGTCCAATTAAGACCTAGACACCCAGGTGAGGGGAGTTCCTAACTAATCAGTGACCTTATTGATCAATCAAGTACAAGGGAGGAGCGAAAACCTACAGACACTCGGCTCTCCGTGGAATGAGTTTGACACGCGATATAGGGCACGGGGAACACAATTAGGGAGAACTCTTCAGCTGGTGGTGCTAATGAGAGAGGGTGTTGTAGACTATACAGGTTGGTCCTCAGGGTGAGCGGTGTGGTCAGTGTCTCCACCTAGTGGTAAAATACAGAAAAGGAAACAGTAAAACAATTGGAAAGACAGGGTGAGCATATTCCAACTGCAGTAGATATCATTTATGTACAACCATTACTATAGAATACATGTTGAATATGTTAGGTCAGGGGTATCAAACTCATTCCATGGAGGGCCTAGTGTCTGCAGGTTTTTCCTTTCAATTGAGCCCTTGACAACCAAGTGTGGGGAGTTCCTTACTAATTAGTGACCTTAATTCATCAATCAAGTACGAGGGAGGAGCGAAAACCTGCAAGACACTCCATGGAATGAGTTTGACACCTGGTCTAAGTTTCTGTCCCCAAAAATTATTTTTTGTATTTTCAGCTTTATATATGCTTTTTTTAGCATTATACTGTAATGCATACTTTTTGGTGGCAGCCAATTTACTGTGTAATGACTTCAATCAAACAAATTAAGACATCAATTAGTGCTGTCTGTAAGCTAGATTTTGCTCATATTTGTCCTTGTTTTGATGACTAACTCTAGGTCATGTGGGGGCACCACTGCCATGTAACCTCATCAAGCTGGTGGATGTGGCTGAAAAGAACTACTTTGCTGCCAAAGGAGAAGGAGAGGTGAGTTGAATGAAGCCTCAAGGATATTTTAGGATAATCCGTACTTGAACAGGGTCACAGACAGTTGGTCATCAAGGCTATAGTGGGTATCATAATTATTCATTTTCTTCCGTCACAAAGTTGGATAGAAATCGATTTTTAATAATAGACCTACACAAAATACTCAATGTCAAAGTGGAAAGAAAATTCTACAAATTCAGACAAATATAATGACTAAAATATAGTAGCAAAAGTATTCACCCCTTTTGTTTAGGCAAGACTTTATTATTTCAGGAGTAACATTTGGCTTAACAAATGACAAAATAAGTTACATGGACTCACTCTGTGTGAAATAATATGGGTTGACATGATTTTTGAATGACTACTCCTTCCTCTGTCCTCCATACATACAGTACCAGTCAAAAGTTTGGACACACCTACTCATTCAAAGGTTTTTTCTTTATTTTTACTATTTTCTACATTGTAGAATAATAGTGAAGACATCAAAACTATGAAATAACACATGGAATCATGTAGTAACCAAAAAAAGTGTTAAACAAATGAAAATATATGTTATATTTGAGATTCTTCGAATAGCCACCCTTTGCCTTGATGACAGCTTTGCGCACTCTTGGAATTCTATCAACCAGCTTCACCTGGAATGCTTTTCCAACAGTCTTGAAGGAGTTCCCACATATGCTGAGCACTTGTTGGCTGCTTTTTCATCTGATGCAGCACTCCATCACTCTCTTTCTTGGTCAAATAGCCCTTACACAGCCTGGAGGTGTGTTGGGTCATTGTCCTGTTGAAAAACAAATCATAGTCCCACTAAACCCAAACCAGATGGGATGGCGAACCGCTGCAGAATGCTGTGGTAGCCATGCTGGTTAAGTGTGCCTTGAATTTTAAATAAATCAGAGACCAGCAAAGCACCCCCACACCAAAACACCTCCTCCTCTGTGCTTTACGGTAGGAACTACACATGCGGAGATCATCCGTTCACCCACACCGCGTCTCACAAAGACACAGCGGTTAGAACCAAAAATCTCAAATTTGGACTCCAGACCAAAGGACAAATTTCCACCGGTCTAATGTCCATTGCTCGTGTTTCTTGGCCCAAGCGGGTCTTTTCTTTTTGTTGGTGTCCTTTAGTAGTGGTTTCTTTGCAGCAATTCGACCATGAAGGCCTGATTCACATAGTCCCCTCTGAACAGTTGATGTTGAGATGTGTCTGTGACTTGAACTCTGTGAAGCATTTATTTGGGCAGCAATTTCTGAGGCTGGTAACTCTAATGAACTTATCCTCTGCAGCAGAGGTAACTCTGGCTCTTCCATTCCTGTGGCGGTCCTCATGAGAGCCAGTTTCATCATAACGCTTGATGGTTTTTGCGACTGCACTTGAATAAACTTTCAAAGTTCTTGAAATGTTCCGTATTGACTGACCTTCATGTCTTAAAGTAATGATGGACTGTCACAATCACAATTATATTCATTTCAATCCTATTTTGTAACGCAACAAAATGTGAAAAGATCCAAGGGGGGGTGAATACTTATGATACCCACTGTATGTACAATATGTTAGCATTTGTTAAAATGATAGTTGGGTGCTGAACATATTCTCCTTAATTATCACTTTGTTTTTCTCCCTCTCCCTCCGATCATCCATTAGGTGTGTGTGAAAGGACCCAATGTTTTTAAGGGCTACCTTAAAGACCCAGAGAGGACGGCTGAAACCCTGGATAAAGACGGTTGGCTCCACACAGGAGACATAGGGAAATGGTTACCTGTACGTACAAAGGCTTGTCTATGACTCTTCACTTGCAAAGACATTTCCTCAAACATCTCTTTGCCATCCTTGTACAATATCCTATTTTAGGGTTGAATCCTAACTTGTGATCCACAAGTATCTCAATTAAAATGTAAGGTATGAGCGTATTTTCAAGTCAGGATTCAGACCTGTGTTTCCCACTATCTCCTTATGACGTTTGCCCTCTCCTCTTCTCTTCTCTCCTCAGAACGGTACACTAAAGATCATTGACAGGAAGAAGCACATCTTTAAGCTGGCCCAGGGAGAGTACATCTCCCCTGAGAAGATAGAGAACATCTATATACGCTGTGAGCCCGTGACCCAGCTCTATGTCCATGGTGACAGCCTACAGGTGACCTAACCTACCTCCCTAACCACCTCTCTTCCTTATCACATCACAACCCATGGTTCGTTGTTTGAGCATTATCATGAGAGATGGTCACTGGACCCAGAACCACCTGAACATACATAGCCATCTGTGTCTCCAGACTGTACATGTACCCTCTAAACCAAACTCATGCAGTTTTAGTTTTTCTGTTTGTTGCCAGAGGACATAGATAATCTGTCAATTCATTATATATTTAGCTCAATTTGTTTATAAACCACTTATCCAGTCAACAAGTCAGTAGTGGCTGTTCTTAATGCCACAGTTTATGCTTGACACTGTTTATATACAGTTAGTTTGAAAGAGACACAGACTTACTTAGGCCCATCGCTCCTTTGGAGCATTGGCCATCGACGACTCGATCACACCCTGTTCTAGGCAGAACGTTCCCTCCCATTACGTATGTGTGTGTGTGTGTGTGTGTGTGTGGGGGGGGGGGATAGATAGATAGATAGACAGATGTCCACAAATGTCTTGTAAACAAACTATAGTTTTGGCAAGTTGGTTAGGACATCTACTTTTTGCATGACACAAGTAATTTTTCCAACAATTGTTTACAGACAGATTATTTCACTTATAGTTCATTGTATCACAATTCCGGTGGGTCAGAAGTTTACATACACTAAGTTGACTGTGCCTTTAAACAGCTTGGAAAATTCCAGAAAATGATGTCATGGCTTTAGAAGCTTCTGATAGGCTAATTGACATAATTTGAATCAATTGGAGGTGTACCTGTGGATGTATTTCAAGGCCTACCTTCAAAATCAGTGCCTCTTTGCTTGACATCATGGGAAAATCAAAAGAAATCAGCCAAAACCTCAGAAAAATTATTGTAGACCTCCACAAGTCTGGTTCATCCTTGGGAGCAATTTCCAAACTCCTGAAGGTACCACATTCATCTGTACAAACAATAGTACGCAAGTATAAACACCATGGGACCACGCATCCGTCATACCGCTCAGGAAGGAGACACGTTCAATCCCAGAACAACAGCAAAGGACCTTGTGAAGATGCTGGAGGAAACAGGTACAAAAGTATCTATATCCACAGTAAAACAAGTCCTATATCGACATAACCTGAAAAGCCGCTCAGCAAGGAAGAAGCCACTGCTCCAAAACCACCATAAAAAAGCCAGACTACGGTTTGCAACTGCACATGGGGACAAAGATTGTACTTTTTGGAGAAATGTCCTCTGGTCTGATCGTTACCTGTATTAATGGCACCTGTTTGAACTTGTTATCAGTATAAAAGACACAACCTCAAACAGTCACACTCCAAACTCCACTATGGCCAAGACCAAAGAGCTGTCAAAGGACACCAGAAACAAAATTGTAGACCTGCACCAGGCTGGGAAGACTGAATCTGCAATAGGTAAGCAGCTTGGTTTGAAGAAATCAACTGTGGGAGCAATTATTAGGAAATGGAAGACATACAAGACCACTGATAATCTCCCTCGATCTGGGGCTCCACGCAAGATCTCACCCCGTGGGGTCAAAATGATCACAAGAACGGTGAGCAAAAATCCCAGAACCACACGGGGGGACCTAGTGAATGACCTGCAGAGAGCTGGGACCAAAGTAACAAAGCCTACCATCAGTAACACACTACGCCGCCAGGGACTCAAATCCTGCAGTGCAAGACGTGTCCCCCTGCTTAAGCCAGTACATGTCCAGGCCCGTCTGAAGTTTGCTAGAGTGCATTTGGATGATCCAGAAGAGGATTGGGAGAATGTCATATGGTCAGATGAAACCAAAATATAACTTTTTGGTAAAAACTCAACTCGTCGTGTTTGGAGGACAAAGAATGCTGAGTTGCATCCAAAGAACACCATACCTACTGTGAAGCATGGGGGTGGAAACATCATGCTTTGGGGCTGTTTTTCTGCAAAGGGACCAGGACGACTGATCAGTGTAAAGGAAAGAATGAATGGGGCCATGTATCGTGAGATTTTGAGTGAAAACCTCCTTCCATCAGCAAGGGCATTGAAGATGAAACGTGGCTGGGTCTTTCAGCATGACAATGACCCAAAACACACGGCCAAGGCAACAAAGGAGTGGCTCAAGAAGAAGCACATTAAGGTCCTGGAGTGGCCTAGCCAGTCTCCAGACCTTAATCCCATAGAAAATCTGTGGAGGGAGCTGAAGGTTCGAGTTGCCAAACGTCAGCCTCGAAACCTTAATAACTTGGAGAAGATCTGCAAAGAGGAGTGGGACAAAATCCCTCCTGAGATGTGTGCAAACCTGTTGGCCAACTACAAGAAACGTCTGACCTCTGTGATTGCCAACAAGGGTTTTTCCACCAAGTACTAAGTCATGTTTTGCAGAGAGGTCAAATACTTATTTCCCTCATTAAAATGCAAATAAATTTATAACATTTTTGACATGTGTTTTTCTGGATTTTTTTTGTTATTCTGTCTCTCACTGTTCAAATAAACCTACCATTAAAATTATAGACTGATCATGTCTTTGTCAGTGGGCAAACATACAAATCAGCAGGGGATCAAATACTTTTTTCCCTCTGTGTGTGTGTGTGTGTGTGTGTGTATATGTGTATATATATATATATATATATATATATATATATATATATATATATATATATATATTACTACCACCAGTCAAAAGTTTGGACACACCTACTCATTCAAGGGTTTTTCTTTATTTTTAAAAACTATTTTTTACATTGTAGAATAATAGTGAAGACGTCAACACTATGAAATAACACATATGGAATCATGTAGTAACCAAAAAAGTGTTAAACAACTCAAAATATATTTTATATTTGACATTCTTCAAATAGCCACCCTTTGCATTGATGACACCTTTGCACACTCTTGGAATTCTCTCAACCAGCTTCACCTGGAATGCTTTTCCAACAGTATTGAAGGAGTTCCCACATGCTTAGCACTTGTTGGCTGCTTTTCCTTCACTCTGCCGTCCGACTCATCCCAAACCATCTCAATTGGGTTGAGGTTGGCGGATTGTGGAGGCCAAGGGTGGCTTTTTGAAGAATCTCAAATAGAAAATATATTTTGATTTGTTTAACACTTTTTTGGTTACTACATGATTCCATATGTGTTATTTCATAGTTTTGATGTCTTCACTATTATTCTACATTGTAAAAATGTAGAAAATAGTAAAAATAAAGAAAACCCTTGAATGAGTAGGTGTGTCCAAACTTCTGACTGGTACTGTGTATATTAACTTCTAATATTAATATACTATGTGGTCTGTTACTCTTCCAGTCCTGTCTGGTTGCCATAGTTGTTCCTGACCCAGAGACGATGCCTGCTTGGGCCCTGAAGAAAGGCATGGAGGGGAGCTATCGGGACCTCTGTAAAAATACCGTATGTGATTTAAATTAGTCTACATTCAATGGTGTGTTTGTTCCATTTGTTGCCATGAAGGTGAGGTGTTTAATAATTAACTATGTGTTATGTGAATAGACTGACTTAGTCCAAAAGAAAAGGATTCCTGTTGCACACCAATATTTAGTGTAGGTGCTGCCCTTTTAGAGAAAGATCCCCAGATTCAACAAAATGAAAGGGTGCCCTGTTGAACCCCTTTTTGTTAAGAGTTGGGCCCTTTGTTGAATAGGTTGACATAACACAATACATGGTATCATCTTCGAGAGTCATGGTATGGTGTCGTGTCTGTGTTTGTGTAAAGGTCCTGAAGAAAGCCATCATGGAAGACTTGCAGCGACTGGGCAAGGCCAGCGGCCTCCACTCGTTTGAGCAGGTGGGTGTGTCAATTGTGAGGTGTTCATTGGTGGGGGCAACTGAAACTCCGTTTCAACAAATGACAAGTGTCTGAAAGAGAATTCGATAATGACAAATAGCTGACCTGACACAGGATCCTTTCTACATTTTATAATGTATACATTCTCTCCTAAGGTGAAAAACATCTACATCCATAATGAGCAGTTCTCCATAAAGAATGGCCTGTTGACTCCCACACTAAAAGCGAAGAGACCTGAGCTGAAGGAGTTTTTCAAGGAGAAGATCGAAGACCTGTACGAAAACATCTCCATGTGAAACACTACGACGACCACAAAATAAAAGCCTGGTTCCCAGCAACATCACTCCTCATTAACATTTCTCCTTCACTCCACTTCACCCCTATCAAACCACAAAAGACTCAAAACAACCAAACAAGTTACTGACTTTGGGTCAGGAAGGAATAATCGATTTAGCTCTTTTGACGCCCACTGAATGAGTGTTGCCCGCTGCCCCACGGCAGCCAATGTCGAGCTACAACCAAATCAGCCTCCTCTCCATCTTGAAACGGCAGCAACAGACAGTCAACATAGCCTGCACGTTCCTCTTTCCTTTGTAGGCCTATCAAAAAAACTGATGCAATCTTTAAGTTTTCTACATGATGTGCTCAGAGAGTTTGCCTGGTAAGAACATACATACCTGGGCTAAGGGCAGTGCATGCAGTGTTCCCTGCATTGCTGGGACCGTTGTTACATGATCCTTCAAAATTAGTCCTGGGATTTTCAGGCAGTCAACAGGTTTACCAACACCATCAACAGTCAAACTGCAAGGCTTTCTCATGTTGTCGAGATCGACAAGCTCCACCCATTGACGGAGGTTAGAACAAAATGGACAGTGACATTTTGGGTTTACATAGTACAAATGTATAGGCTTTTGAGTAAATTTCAGTCCCAAAGTATCACTATGTAGATGTACATATTGTGGACAAATAGATGTAAGCATATGAATGGATTTTTTTGCGTGTAGTGAGATGAATTGTAACTTTATTTAATTTTCTGTCAAATGGAATAATCACCATATCCTTGTATTGAATGAGTACAGCAATAAGTATTAGGGGTTGGATGGGGAAGAGAAAAATAAAATACATTCTGGAATTATTTTTATTATTTCTTTATTTTCCATGTCAAGCGACGCTCAAACAAACTAAAACAGAGTTACCTTTACATTGCAACACTGACTCATTTGGCTGGGCAATATAGACAAAGTGTTAACAATGATCACGGTAGTGATATAGGGTAATATGAGCATGCACACAGTTGGACAGGTGGCACAGTCTCCATAGAAATGTTTATCCTGTGTTTTTGGAGTCTACTGAGCTTCACACAGTTAAAGTGGCTGTGTAATTGGTTGAAGTTGACTATGGCACAACAAAAGTCTACATTGAGATAGTAGATGTTAGTGCATGCTTCTTCTCAGCAGCCAACAACCACAATGTTGAGTGCTGAAGGTCTATAGGGCATATTTTCTTCAAGTACCTCAGATGATGTTTTATCATCATATTTGATGTCTGATTTTAGTGGGGAAAAGGCTACACTTACAGAGCCTCTGAAATATGTTTGTGAGCAGTAGAACCTCACATTGTCTGTTACAGCTACTCAATTAACCCCAGTATCAAAGTTGCATGGGGGTAGGGGTTTCGACTCAAACTCGAAGACTAGCAATTGTAATTTTAGTGGAGATGGTTGAGTGAACTGAGGCCTGAAGACTAGCCCACAAAGTACATGCCTATATGCTTTAGCTCCGCAGGCTAACACAGCCTTGGGACACACAGTCGGCCAGGGCTCAAATCATGGCATCCATCACACTTTTTTCAGACGACAGGCAGATTAATATAATACATTTGCAGCATCCAGCTCATTTTATTTGGTAAAACACTATTTCAATGTTTTATTCAGTTTTTAAAAAAAATACTTGATTTACTTGATTTAAGCCCATGGCTCCATCTCCCTTATTTCGGGGCAAGTTTTTCAAGTTTGCACCAGTTGAGGCCGCTCTCAATCATTCCTGCCTGGACAAATAAACATGTCACAAAAAATCTAACCAGAAAAATATATATGTAAATTATATATCCTGAGTCACAATCACATCCCTCAAGTCTCTGCTTACAAACAAGCTGTTCAGAGGATACCGTGAATCCACTTCACAGATAAGATGTGATTGACATATTTAGGGGAGAGTATGAGGATTGTGTACATTGCATCTGGAAGAACAAGCATGCTTGTACAGCACTTTTGTAAATTAATGTAAAGTATAAAAGGAATAAATTTTTTCTTTGCATGTGAAACCATGGGACTGGTTAGGAATCCATACAAAATGTATAGTACAATTCAAACTGATGAATGTAAACAGGGCAGAATATAAATAACCATGTAGCATGTTTAAAAATATATAAATAATAGTATGTTTTATAGTAAATCTAAATGATGGGCAGGAGAGGAATAAAGCTGTACATGTTGGATATTTGAATACTCCGTGTTTTTTCTTCTTTGACTATTGACAGGACTCCAGTTGAGGTCATGTTTCAAACCTGGTAGTGTTAGCACAGATAGAACAATGAGTTAGTTATAAAATGGGTTAGTTATAAAAAATATTTGGTGTTAGTGTACTCTATTTTGAATCTCACCCAGCAGGGGGCGCAAAAATAAATTTATTGGCGAACGCCGCCATTCAAAATAATTTCTGAATATCTCGAGAGGCTCAAACTCAGGCAAGCTGCTGAAGATCCAGAAGAAGTGGAGAGGTTCGTGAGAACAATTGAAATAATCGCTATGGCCAATGACAATATTTTAATAATTTAATGATGAATAGTTTGTTCGAACTGTCAAAGTCGCGTCAATTCAAATCTGGTATTAGGAACAAAAGAGGTCAACACGACTTCTAAGGTATACTAGTTATTTTAATTAATGCAAAAACCTTCAATGGTAAATATGATGTTTCGTATATACGGACTCTCTGAGATGTCTCGCAGGACACTCCAGAGAACTAACACATTGTTCCAGAAACAATACCCAAATACTCTGACAGAGGAAGTTTCCCACTTCTCTGCTGGCCAATTAGAGTAAAGGACTGAGTGTGGTTTAAACTTACTCAGCCAATCCATTGATTCAGAGTTTGGTCTCATCTCTTCGGCGCCATTTGTTACACACTTCAGCCAGGCACAAGATTATCATAACAACCTATCATAGTGAGAAGAGCCAGCTCCCTTAGACATCATTCCTACGTCAGAGGAAGGCTCACAGGTCACAAATAACTATTATAGTCTAGCATTTGAAGACACAATCCTTATCTTATTTTAACCCCTAAAACAGCTCTTCACATCAATCACAGCCTTGCCAGGTGTCACAGCCTACATTAGCCCAGTCAAGACTGCATTCTTTCTAAGTTAGTCATCCCATCAATTTAGGAGAATAATAAATCCCTAATAGTCCCCCTTTTCACACCTTATAAGGTGTGATTCAAAAAATAACAAAAACACTGATTGTCATTCATTATTAATACAATACAAACAAAAAATCACACTTTTATTAATAGGCCATAATGATACTAAAAATTCAAACCCTCAGTCCATCTACACCCAACTTGCAAATTGTTACCAGTCACCAAGGAACTTCAAACCATCACATAAGAGAAGACAAACATTCACATGATTAGCTTGATTAATAAAGCATAAAACACAGGATTAACTGAACACAAAACATAAGACTATTAAAACACAAAACACAAACAGAGAAGTATATTTTGGCCACCTTTAGACACCCTCTAGTGTCACTCCACCAAGCCTGGTAGGTCATATCCTCAATTCCTTAGGTCGGAGTCCAGGATTGGGCCTTATCTCACCATCTGTGGGAAATCACCTTCTCCATCTCCTTTCTCACCAAACCTCAGACACAGGAAATAAGACAACATCCACAAAGAACAAGTATACCCATAGAAGCTATAACTTCACCCAGAATAGTTACAACAATAGTTTTTCCATTTATCAAATATGTTATCAAACCAACCGTTTATGGAGCTATCAATATCAGATCTCTCAGCCAGTTTGTTTGTCAGTGTAGTTACTCCCATGAAGCTCTTTTGTCACTGACCCGTCCGGTGCTATATTGTTTGAGGATGAAAATACAGCACATAGATCCAAACAGAACACAAACTCCGCCCCTCTCAGCCAAAAGCATATCTAAAGCTATTCTATTCTGCCTTGTCATTAAGATAGTTGCCGCTGTCTGCTCATCTAATCCCTTTATTGCATCACAAGTGTGGTTTATAAATCTTTGCTGGTTATAGTAAATATAATTTATCCAATCTACGTTTTTATTAATTGTTGACCACCAAAAAATACTTAATTCAAACTCAGCTGCGATCTGATTCCTAGCTTTGAATTGTTCTGGAACCTCTCGAGGTACTCCTACCCCATCAAAGGATCCTTTCATCAAAGGATCCCGGGAGGAGGTCCTACTTTCTACGTGACAACTCACCAGTCTCTGACAGTTTGATTGTTTGCGTATGTAGGTGAGTTCACAATCAGTTATCACCACACAACCATCAGATGTCAGCACGGGCCTGGTTTTAGTTCCTACAATCCTCTGGCTGCAACAAAGAGGAGAGATTAGTCATGGTCTCTTTCAGTTGTGATATTCTCTGTGTAGGAGCAGAGCTAAGATGCCCTACTCTGTATCCTATCTTACTAGTCCTAGAATAACAATTAGAATCCCCTGAGACTTCAAACGTAGGCAACCTAGGTCGGAATGACTTTGTTATCGGGGGATACTGATAGTTCAAGTTACTACAAGACTCTTTCACCACATTCCCATGTGGCTTGTATGGAGGATAAACCTGACAGAGAGTCAAAGCCTGTCAAGGGGAACGGAGTAGTTGTTAACCTTGGTTTGGCTGTCCCACAGGCATAACAGTCCTCTTTAGACATAGTTCTTGCCGTATACTAAATCCATTCCAACCACCGGTCAAGATTCCTACACCCCGTCTCCACCTGTCCTACTTTCTTCAGGTCTATAGGTTGCACTGTCTCACTACCTCCCTCAGAGAGGTTTACTCTATAGGGTGCCCCAGTTGAAGAGGATATCTCACTTGTCAGGTCTGTAACCTGTTTTTGCGTACTTCAGACTTTCAGACAGTACCTACCCTTCTATGGGTCGCACTGCCATTTCTGGTAATTCCCTACCCTCACAACACTACACCTGTCCCCAAACTGTGTATGGAGATTTACATATCCCCCACGCTCTCGATATAAGCAACTACAT